TAGAGGTAAACTTTCCCCGGGCCACAATCTGGGAAATAACGAGCTGCAGTCTACGCTTGGATGCTCACTGCTGGTCTGGAGAATCATCTCGCCAGATGCTTAACAAGCCTAGAATGACTAATCTCTTTTTAGTCTAAATCCATTTTACTCTCAGTTCCTACTTGACCAAACTTCTCAACCTTAATCACAAAGCTCAGTAGTTGAAAGAGAAATCAGAAGAGCACCAGGTCGTATAACTACAGAGCTCAGAGCCCAGCCAGAAGGTAGGGCCATTATTCAGCCTCGTTCTTCCAAATGCCAGAAGCACAGTTTTGGTCTAGGTTAATCATCGCTGGACCTTTTAAATTGCTCTAGGCCAGAGTTACCCACACTTTACTCATCAGCTACCAATGCTACAGTCCTAGTGAAATCAATGAGCCTCACTTACCATGTTATTTACTTTTTATACCTCTGTATCCCTATAATTCCTGCATTAGTAGTTACTTAATATTTTATTTAAATTACCTTTAAGGTGAGTTTCCAGTGGAAACTTTATATAATTATCATAAATGGAAAAAAGTGTCACTTTTCATAAATAGAAGGTAACCATAAAAATAAAATTAACTGAAAGCAAAACAATGTTTGTTCCAGCTAGCTCCAGCTGCACGGCAAAGCCCCCAATCTAAAGCCTGTTCTTTCTTCTCAAAAGGGTAGTAGCAAGTTTCTGGAGTTGTTAAAGCACCAAACTGAGAATTTTGCCTTGACATAGCCAAGAAGACGGAAAGAGAAATGAAAGGGGTGTTAACTTTGCACCACATGATTCAGGATTCTTGAAGGCCATGCTGTCTCTGAGCCATCTAAATCATCTCATGTAAGATGTGACATGTCCTACTTGGAGGCTGTGATGCCTTTGAGGAATGAATAATTGACTGTAAAGAGGATTGTTGATAAACTCTATGATTTACACAGTTCCATTCAGGATTGTTATGCAGTGTGGCCAGTATGCTCATCGTTCTTCATAGACCTTCTGAATCTTACTGGAATGTTATTTCCCAAACTAAAAATTGCTTACAAAATAGCTTGTACATTGATTAAAATATATTCAGCATTTGCTGTACATTTTAGGTTAAATTATTCATTTGATCTCTAATTTAAATTCTGTTTCTACATCTTTTCCTTGTCTGTAATGACATCTTCTTGACTAAATATAATAATGTGATAATATCTGTTTTAAAGATTTCCCAAAATATATAAGCGTATATGTAAGCTCTGGCATTTCCAATCAAATGGGAACATTTTTGTATATATTGACTATTTCATCAGTTTTTTGAGAGCTCACAAGAACTCTAGAAAATGAACTCTGAAGTAGGGGATTTTCTTCCAATCTGATTTATTCTTGTGTCTTTGTGGCAGTGGTCCACGATTACATTAGACATTTATGCTACACAGCTCTCTTGGAAGATCTGTCCCTGGCTAATTTCCTCACCTATCTTGCAGTCTTCTTGGAAATCAGGTTTTGGAGGATTATTACTTTTGGTCAGAAACAAGAGGACAAGAGTGGCTATTAATTCCCAGTATTGCTTAACCTAGAAAAGAAAGCTCTTATTTCTTTTGCTGTGGGAAGGGGGATGAGGGGAGACAAGCCAGATCTAAAAATAAACTGGATTTTCTTTCTTATTCATATGTAATTAGAGCCCCTTTGTAACTACTCATTACCACCTCGATAGTTATAGGATGAATAAATAATATATATATTTAAATGTGGCAAAACCAAGAAAGAGGTAGCCAGGGCTGCTTCTAATTTATCAACTTGGTGATTAAAGGGCTGGCTCTAGAGGCTCCAGACATCTAGGGAGCCAGAGATAAAACAGGGCAGTTGGCTGTGTTTTTACTAATGAATCTAGGGCTTGAAAGATATCAGGCAATTTTAAAGAAAAGCAGCAAGGACAAGAGATATTAGACAAGGCCAGTAGGGTAATGAAGGACAAGGCCAGTTACTGAGCGAGAAAATTACTTCATTTTCTGTGATAATACTTGTGTGTGCTTTGTAGCTCTCTTCTCACGCTTTGTTAGTATGGCTGTATATATATATATATATATATATATATATATATATATATACACGTACAGCATCGGAATGCTACCCCAGTGTAGAAGGAAAGAGCCTTGGAACGTTCCGCAGAGGGGCAGAGGGCTTGGGTCTACTATTTTGAAAGGGGGAGGCTAAGAACAATGGTAGCAGAAGGGGGTTAGATTGCAAGGTGAGGAACAGTGCTTTGACAGAGGGACGCACAGGATTAAATCAAGACGAAAGACACAGCAAGGAAAAGAAAGAAAAAGGCAAGCAAACATACTCTGGAAATGCAGGACCGTTTGGAGGATGAGCTGGGACCCAGAGTGGGATCAACCCAGTGGTGCTCAACTTTTCTGCAGAGCAGAGCTCTGGGCTCGTTTGCTCACTGGTCTTTTTTCAGCAGCCAGAATGAAAAGGGCATGGGACACTTGACTCCTCAGCTAGCTGGTCAGCAGACACATTTTCTGCTTAGTGGGGAAATGTGCGGTATTTTACAAACAGTTCCAGAGTATATTTAGCTCCTAAAGCTGGGGCACACAAATGTCACATTCCCAAAAGACAATCGGCCCAGTGAAAAGAGCACCCACCAGAGGCCCGCAGAAACCCCATTAAACTCTTGCATCCCAGGAGGTGCTGCACACCCGGATGTGACATCATTAAGGCACCCACGTCAGGGAATGGAAAGAAGCGAGGGGATCACAGATTGGGTCAAGTTAAAGGACGTAATCATGAGTCAGAAAAGAAACAAGACTTTTCCAACGGAGTAACGCCATCACCAAGTCATACCACACAGTGCTTGGCAAAACAAAAGTTCAAAATAAATCATGAACATTAAACAGAAAAACACTTCAGAGCAAAATGGAAATTAAAATCATAAAAAATCATGACAAAAGGAACATTAAGCTACATTACTTTTTTTATTTTTAAAGTTTCTGCATAACAGTTCATTGTCATTGCCCTATCAAATACACACATAATCCGTTGTCAAAAATGAAGCTCAAATTTGACAGGGCAAGGCAAGGAGTTAATAGCACGAGAACAGTGATCATGTTAAACACCCATGCAATCACCTCTGCCACCATTGTTTGACGATTTGTAGACTGCTTCCAGCTTTGTCAATATTCATAATAAGACCCAAGAGAATGAACAATGCCGAATTTTAAAATGATCTGTCAATGTGTTAATTGGACTCTTTGATAACCTCCCTCCCTCGGGAGAGTTAACGATTGGAGAAAATTCACACCATCCCTCTCAGTGAAGCGAAGAGGAAATGACTGTAACCAACAGCTAGATATTTGGTTGACATATTTAATGCTTTACTGGAAAGGCTGTTTGGTTTTTCAGAAAGTTGCAGTGGGCAAATACAAAGTGATTTTTACTGTGTTGTCTGTTCTTGAGAACTCGGCCAAGACTAACACATCTGCGGTCGGGAGCCACACAGAACAAATAATGGCACATGCTAGGGCTGGTGGCCTGCTGTGATGGTTCTGCCCCGTCACGAATTGGCCTGGTGCTTTCTTGTGATGGTTAAGAGCAGGGATCCCACCAATTTAGAGGCTGCTGAGACAAAAGCCACTTAAAAAAAAAAAGATTGGGGCAGGACATATTAACAGTAAGAAGTTATAGAAGAATAATAAAATCGATTAAGGGGATATATTAAAGAACGAGTTAAGGGACTTCCCTGGTGGTCCAGTGGTAAGACTTCACCTTCAGATGCAGGGGGTGCGGGTTTGATCCCTGGTAGGGGAGCTAAGATCCCACATGCCTTGCGGCCAAAAAACTAAAACAGAAGCAATATTGTAACAAATTCAGTAAAGACTTAAAAAAAAAAAAAAAAAGTTAAAAGGGCTACATCTTCCCATTTTGGGCTTGGCATGTAGCAGCAGAAGGTACGACATTCTCAGGAGATGAGCCGCCAAAAAAAAAAAGATGAAAATTTAGTGTGTGAGTCTGCCTAGCAAACATTCTCTAAAAGTAAAGATGGAAATATGTATACAGAAAAACCCTGGGGGAAGACACGATAGAGACTGTCTTCCAAGGGTCACTGTAGCTGGTCTGCCCTTGAGACTCAAATCTCTGCTTGGATGAAACTCTTCAAAACATATAGAAGTAAACAAGGCTGAATGGGGGGAAACAGCTCGCAACATAACTGAGCTTTTCAGTCTCTGATTTACAAGACTTTTTTGGACAAGTAAAGGCCTCTTTGGTTGCAGCTGCAACTAAAGTAGGATGTGTTACCAGAAGCAGCAAATGGCGAGAAAAGAGATGACATTTCCTGTCTCTAGTTGAGCAAAGAAAGCCAGGGAGAATTTAGGACAGTTCACAGTAGAGTCCCTTTCATTTAGTGCAGCTTCCTTTCCATTTTAAATGCATAGCAATTCTGCTTGATTAAATAACATATTTTTGTTTTAGCTGTTATCCTCTAAGGGCAATGAAGTGCGTCTCAGGACCTCAGCTCTATTCAAATTCAGCACCATGCGAGAGTGAGGGATGCTACCAGCCAGAAAAGACTTAACTCTGCTATTTCTCCATTCACTGATTAAACGGGCTTTTACTTTGATTACATGTACTTGCCAAAGCCCGCACCACATTCCATCCCACTATGGGGGGAAGAGAGGATCCAGAAATCACTGAACGAGCTAAGAGGAGTGGAAAGGGATCTCAGGAGCCAGCATCTGCTTTGGGCCAAGCCATGCCTCTCTTGGGTGGAGGAAGCTTAGAGGATGTGTTATTTGTTTTGTGTGGTTTCTCCTTGGTCAGGGAATCATTGTGGATCAAGCCTAGCATAGAGGATTGGGTTGCAGCCTTTTCTGTGACGCTTTCAATCACAGTGTGTTGGAGGTTCGTTCCTTAAATACTGCTGTGATTCAGCTGGAAGCAGTTCCATAGTCCTCCCCACTTTTCCCTCCCTCTCCCCCCAGAGGAAGCGGTACTTCCAAGGCCTTACCCTTCTTGTCTTGGTGATTATGGGAAGACACTGCCCCCAAAGAGTCTGTGCTGTCAGGTGAATCCTTCCAGTCCAGCATTCCTCCCCTAGACTCATACCCCTCTTGAGCCGCCGAATTGGACGTGGTGGTGCTGGGCAGGAGGGAACTGGAGTGCCCTGTTTTCATCACAAATATAGTTAGGGAAAACATCACCGGAGACACCCGCTTTCCCTTTGCTCAGAGGCCAGGAGGTTGGACACCCACGCTGGCTGTAAAAGACTCAAAGGAGATTGTCCTAGAAATAACAAGACTGGTGGGTAGGATTCAGCAGAAGACCCCTGAGATTGTCCTAGAAATAACAAGACTGGTGGGTAGGATTCAGCAGAAGACCCCTTGAACTTGTAGTTAGAGGATGAAGGGCCAGATCTTGTCTCTGCTGCTTGCTGGGTGAGCCTGAGGGAATCACTTAAGCTCTCTGGGCCTTGTTTGGTTTTCCCTGTGCACGAAGTGGAGATGATGTCGTTTACCTCCCAGTGTTGGAAGGATAAAGTGACATCATGTTGAAAGTACCTAACAGTATCTGACACGTAGTAAGCGCTCAAGAAGTATCAGAGTCCTTCTTTGGTATTCTCATAGCAGCACTAAGGTAGAATGTGTCCATTCTGGGGACAGCATTTGTGACTGATGGGGCAGGTTTATGGTAGTGGATGAGCCTCTGCCCCGTCACAAACAACTCAGCTGCCCTGAGCCTTTCCCATGGAGTATGTGTCTAGTTTTCAGCTGCAGTTCAGCCTCACAGGCATTCCTCTTTGTGGGGGAAGTGACTGCTTTCTAAAGGGATCTGCTCCCACCCCCTCCTTCCTGGAACAGAGGCCTCAACTGCTCCATGTTGTTATGGCTGTGCCTTTTGTGTCTTATTCCAACCAAGTTAGTTTCATGGTTTCATGACTCATACTAGTGAGAGGTGGTTTTTTGAGGCCACACTGACTGATCCAATTCAGATTAGAAAGGGATAGCTTTTTGAGATCCAGAGTGGCCTACCCTAGGATAATGCCAGAGGAAGAATGGCTAGGTTGGGAGTTATGGCAGAAACTGGATGTTTCCTGTGAACACATTTCTAAGCTTCTCCCCCGCCCCCCGCCATCATTCCACAAGGTTAAATGCAGATCATATCTGGTGCTTTGATCTAAGCTGTCACAATGATTTAAAGAAGCCCCACTACCTGTTCTCTCTGGTGGAAATAAAAAATAACCTCTCTGTGATTTTCAAGTAGAGTCTTTGGCTTATTAAAGCATCTTACCTATAGCAGCCTCTTGAACAATTTTTAAAAAGACATCAAGGCAACTACTGTGAATGTGTAATTGGTGCCTTTGGTAGAAAGTAGGACAGATTCACAAGTGGCTCCAGCCTTGGGCTGTGATCACCGCATATGTGATAAATTGATACTAGCCACCAGAAAGAAAGATTATAATGAATGCACTGCATTCTTCTTTTTTACAATTATTATTGGAAGCTGGATTCCTAGGAGACTTTAATACTATAAATTACATACTGTGTATACACACACACACATACACACACGTGTGTGTGTGTATGTGTGTGTAAGAATAAAGTGGGGAAGAGCAAGCAAGCCAAGTGGCTTATCTAAGCTATAGGATTTCCATGGAAGCTCCACACTTGAAGTGTTACCACAAAGCTCTGGTAACATCTAAGAGGCCCCTTTCTGTGTAGAGCTTGTTTGGCTCGTACACAGCTTCAAATATCCGCTTTGTTGCAAATAGTCTAGTTCGCATCCAACTGCTAAAAACCTGTTCATTTAAAAGTAAAGAATTCTTGCGTCTAGACTTTGTTTTTATATTTCTGGGTTTCGCATCTCATCTCCCAATAACTGGTAAGAGAACAAGGGTAGGAAAATTATTAACCTGGAATTGGCAATACAGACTTTCTTTTACTTCCTTTATGCTTATATTGAGGTCTAAAATATAGCCTCTATTTTCTACTCTTGAATTCAACAATGCTCTCATGCAATATACGGTCAACCTAAGAGACTTCAGCACCCAGCCTAAGCAAACAATTAGAAATAGCTTTGCAGGGAGTCAGAAAGGGGGGAAGGAAAAAAAGAAGCCTCTCCTCCAAGTAGCAAGAACTTCTTTTACCTGAATTGATATGCATTTTGAGCACTTTCAATTTAACTGTGTTCAAGGGGCAATTTTATGGTAATGTCCTAAGTATGGTTTAGGGAGAACATTTCTTAATACGGTAATCTAGGGGAAATATATGCCTAAGGGACACATTCTCTGTAGAAAGATTTCCTGGAGCATATGCTGCAAATATATGGAAAACTCATTGGTAATGGAAAGCTATGGCTGTGAGAGGAAATTAATGTGGACCAGATGGTAGTTAGGTAGGAAAATGTTTCACACAAATGTGAGAAATCAGCTCCTGCCTATTGCTGAAGTGTTAGTCTCATACCCACCACATCTCCATATTCTACATGTAAATCTAGAGAAACCATGCATCTGATGTACTCAAATGGAGAAAAAAAAAATAGAGCAGCATGAGGTTTGTAATCTTTTAAACTTACGCTTGAGGACAGGCAATGTGTGTCACGGGTGAAGCAAACAGTCGGAGAAAGCAATGCCTGATTCTCAAGAATTTTAGAACTACCATGTAAAAGCACCATTAAGCAGCCATCCTTAGTTTGAAATCAAAGAGGTGTATTATTATTACCTCTCCAACTGTTAAAAGGAAATCACTTATATTCCTTCTTAGAATCTGATTCTACAGGCTATATTGTTTTTGTGCATTCCCTAAGAGACTGTAACCAAAATAATGCTACAAAAATAGGCAGTCGTTTGTGGATATGGTATTACATGTCAACAATTTGGAACCTATAATTTTGTCTTGTTAATCCAGTATGAAAAGTCATATTATAATCAATGGAGCTTATGGTGTATTATTCTTATAATATACAAAGAAACAGATTTAAAAAGTTAACTTTAATATGCATCATATTGTTTCTCTATATCTACAAGTCTTTGTAATTCTAGAGGTTAGAGATCCTTCAAACTACTCTAACCTATTAGCAATGATTGTACCCAGTTAGACACAGAAGAGACACTAAATCAATACAAGAGAGGATGAGAGAAGGAAGATAATCAGGGTCCAATTCACTAAAAAAGGGTTCTTGTATATGTAAGTGGTGTTGCACAGAGCTTTTGCCACACAGAGAGTCTGCATGGTTTACAGAACGATCCCTTTTTCAGAGTTAGGCAGTTCTGGTTCTGCGGGTCACCCTATGAGTCTGTACCCAGCCACTGAACTTTTTATGGGAACATGCAAAGGACACAGCTAGACACAGTGGGTGCATTTTGGACTTTGGGGTTGGCTTCCTAGTCTACATCCATGCTCATAAACACAGCAATTTGCTTTTTTCTTTGATGGTTCAAATATAGCACCTAATCCAGTGCCTGGCACATAGTAAGCACTAAACTAATGTCTGCAAATGAATGAGTTAAATCTCTTCTAGGTTTATTAGCTCCAAAATAAGCATCTCTTGCAGTAGTTTGTGAAAAGAGAGTCTCCTCTGTTTTTGTAAGTACTGTCTGGACCAGCCCTCATGTTGATGGTCAGTTAATCATCTAACCCCTTCACACCCAGGAGAAATTGAGCCTGAAATGGACAGGATCATTAGTTGAAAGGAAAATTCCAACTCTTCTTTAGTTTCATCACGGAAACCACTGACCCAGCGAATGGGCATTGTTCTTTAAAGTGTTAACATGGAGGAATTAATAAGTTCCTTTCCTTTTATAAAGGCAGTAAGAGAAATCCATAAATTGAAGAGTGATTTTTGTTCATAAAGAGCATCCCATGGTTTAATTATTCTATCTATAGGAGAAATTACCTGGGAATTAAAATTGGCCGTAGTACTATTGAGGAATGCTGGGGTTACTGGTTCAGTTAGATTCAAGACCTGGATTTCTCAATATCTGATAAAGATTATTCAATTATAGGAGATGATTGCAAAGTACGATATTGGAGAAGTGCAGATGCGAAGTGGGTTCTCTTTGTGAAGGGCAAGCTAAGCTAGATGACACTTGCCTCCTGAGAAGTGTTTCTTCCAGCTGTTGGTGTTTGACATTCTGGCTTGAATCATAGATGAGAGAATGGTAAAGGTGGATGAATTCAGTGGGCTCATCTACTCCATGCTGCCTCACTTCACGATAGGAGAAACCGGGCATTGTTTTCCCTACCTGCACAGCCCCAGTTTATAAGATAGTCTTCAGGACTTTCAAAGAGGCTTTTTATTTATGCTAATTAGACACAGGAGTGAGAGTTTCCACAGAGCTATTAGATGCATTTGTAGCCATCTTGAACTATTTTTTTGAATCCTGAATCCACCTTGCTTTCTTTTCTTCCCTCTTTTTTTCTTTTCTTTATTTTGTCCCCTTCCTCTATTACCTACCTCTACATTTAAAGACTGACCTGGAGCTGTTATTGTTACGTGTCTTAAACATAAAAGTTATAAAATGTGTATCAGTGAAGCTTGTAGTCCCCATTATAATGCAGAAGCTTAAATCTCCCATTACATATATGTTGTTCATTATCTTTAAAAAACACATGAATAGTTTACCTTAATAAACATTTGGGGAGGCTTTGAGAAATGGAACTGGAACATTTCAACTACTGTTTAACTTTTCTTATAAAGAGCTCAGAATAGTCTGTTTATGGACTTAATGGCTTTGTTTAGTATAGTGTCTGTATATTTCAGAGCAGGAACAACGGGGTAAAAATCCTGTTTGCACATCATTTCCACTGCGTCACTCTTCCTTGTATACATTTAAAGACGTTTCACTGAAGATAGGTCTACATATTCATACTCTTCGTGTGATTAAATTTCGATGGCTATATTGGAAAGTTTTGCCTAAGAAGAACTTAGTACCTGCACTCTGTATAGATTTCCCTGCAGAAGGTATTGTTCTGAAAGTCAGCATTTTGGGGAATGATACTATCAGTTATCAGTTAAGGAGCTGCGGCCTATGAGTTATAAGCACTATTCTTTTATCTTGGATGTACTTATGTCCAAAAGCAATTTCTTCTCCCTCAAGAACTCATTAAATGCATTCACCAAATTCCCTAAGGTTGGCATATTTCATGTTCTGTGGATTAAAAATGTAGGACTCATTCTCACATGTCAGTTGTCTCATATATGTAGAGTTAATTTTTGAAGCATCGTGAAATCTATGAATAATTTTAGTGAATTGGGGCCCTGAAGTAGCAGAGAATCTGGTCCATGATGTTTAGGAATGAAGATTATAAACTACCACAGGATGAATGGCTTGAAGAATAAAAAAAACAACAACCCGTGAACTGACCATATACTGTGTTGTAAGACATTTCATGATCTGGTAGAGGAGTTGAAATGTCTATAAAAAATAATGAGAATTTAAAAATTAATTGAAAAAGAAACGTAAAATTCGAAAATACTCAAGAGGTTTAGTGAAACAGGATTTCTCAAATATATTTCCACTGCTATTAAATTATGAGTAATATCTTCCTTACCATTCAGTGCCACGAAGGAATCTGAAAGACAGAAGGGAGGAGTAAGTTACTTAACATTTAACACTCTGCTCAGTGTGACTTCCGTAATAAGTGGGAGTGAGCTGGTACAGAGCTGTGCTAACATACGACCCCCAATACTGAGTAAGTGCTTTTTACTTTCTGCTTGTAATAGAAGATGCTTCGTATTTGCTTGCGTATTTACGAATGCTTCGTATTCATATCCTTATACTATCTCTTTCCCAAGTGAGCTTCCTCAAAGTCATGCCTTTGTTGCCAAGAGGCAGAGAAAAAGCAAGTTAGTGGAAGGAATGGTAACTGCGATTATATGTAAGCCGTACGCCATACAGAGGGATGTGTATGTGGATAAAGTGAGTGACATCTGGACCACACTTACAAAGCACTTTTTCTTTACATTCTCTCTCATTTCATCCTCCCAACCATGCTGTGAGCAACTGTCCAATATCACAATGTTCTGAACTCAGCAGGGGTTTTAGTTAGGAAATTAACAAAAATAAAAATCACACATACAGGCAACATATATTTGTGTGTGTGTGTGTGCACGCGCGTGCCCCCGCTGTGTGTCTGGGTCACGTCACTTGTTCACTCAGCCTGCTACTCAGCCTCTGACGCTGGCTCTTTATGGTTTCCTCATTTCCCCTAAAACTCCTGTTAAAGAGTCATTGTGTACCAAATATCTAAATCCTTTGAATGTTTGTGTGTGACTAGATATGTCTGACAGAAGTAGGTCATGCTCCAGTGGGCGCCCAGGAGCAGAGAAGCCACTAGGAAAGGCATTACCTCCTGCCCGGAGCAGGCACCCTACGTGCCTCAGCAGGAGTGGGGGTCGAGTTACGGAGCACACGAAAACACAGAGGCTTGACCACTGAGACGGAAGAGTAAATCACTGGCCTGGGGCCTGAGGGTCTGCCCTGCGCTCTGCCTGAGGACCCAGGCGTGGTGTAAGCCTGCTGGTGTAGTGGATGCTCTAGAGAGCCAGTAACACTTTCACATTTTTCATATATTTACGTATTCAATCCAAATTGACACCCCTATTTTTCTAGATGCCTATATCATCGAATCATAAAAATATGGAGAAAATTATTCACTAAAAACAGCTAATTAAGTTCACTCAGACACACATACCAACCGAAACCTGTTTCCCTAAAAATGGGACCATAAGGCACCAACATGATCAAGATCCACCAAATCAAACATCAAATTGTTTCATTGCAGACACATAGCAGATCTTTTGGGCTCCGGATGTGCAGGCTCTGCGGCCATGGCTCACGGGCCTAGCCGCTCCGCGGCATGTGGGATCTTCCCGGACCGGGGCACGAACCCGTGTCCCCTACATCGGTAGGGGGAGTCTCAACCACTGCGCCACCAGGGAAGCCCCCTATGCTAATTTCTTAATTCAGATTTTGTGTGTGAAGACATACGAAGCTTTTTCCGGTATATATTTGCAAACAAACAAACAAACAAACAAACAAAATATGACCAAGAATTTGGAGATGAGGCTCTGTGGCCCTATTTATTTGATTATGTCTGTTCTCTAGAACATGGCTCAAAGATTTAAAGTTATATCCATGATTTTCATTAAATATCACACACAAATCAAATATCAGAAGTAATATAGTTTCATTCCCTTAGGAGCTATTTTTGGTGCCATTCTGAATACAGGCTTCTTGAGATTTATCACATACAACATTTAAAACATGGCAAACTAAATGTTTTCCAAGAGTATGGCATTATTCTCTAAATTAGCATTAATAAAGCATTTTCAGGAGAATATTGATATTAATCAGATCACTGGACAACTGGGCAGACCTTTGACCAGGATCCTTTATATAAAGTTCTAACTAAAACGTTGGCATGTAATAACTTTTGAAATGACCTCTGAGATTAGTATAGTAGGTCAGTTCTTATAAAAAGGTTATTTTGAGTCACCTTGTATGTAGTGGGTTCTTTCTGAAATTTTTTTCTACTGCAAATGGTAATAAACATAAATCTAATTTAAAAAATAATTTTGTTAATCGAGATGTTCAAGAGAAATAAAATAGTCCCATTCAATTAAAAAGCTAGAGTACAGTGATCAGTCTTTTTATTATTTGGCTGAAAATTATGGCAATAACATATCTTTAAAAACAACAAAACTGGTTTTAAATGGAAATGCTGATGTAACTTACTGCTCTGCTATCGTAGACATCCTCTAGAGTGAATTTGTTCCACAGCATTATGATAAGGAAATAGGTGCCAGCACTTATGGCAACACCATTGGCAACAGAGGCTTCAAAACACACTGTTTTCTTTGATATTTAGGTGATTTCTGTTATTTATGCATGTTTTAGAGGCAGCTGCACTCAGTTTCACATGTGGTGTCATGTTTCTAGGCCAGTCTATAAAAACATCTTTTTTTATAGAATAAATATCCAAATGGATAAAAAGCTCTACTTACTGTGACAGTCTCCCAGGCCATCTGTATTGCCATGCTCTATGTCCTGTTCAAAAGTCAGTCTTCCAAAAAAAAGGAGGGAAGAGAAGAAAGATAGACACAAATTCAATGATACGAGTCTATTGCAGGATGCATCTTAAGTTTCACTAAAGCAACTAACACAGTTTGATAAATTGAGTGACAGGTGCCAAAAAAGTAGGTAACAGCTCGAAAGTTTATCTCCAAAACTTACAGAAATGCGTCCTTTGTGAATCTCCCAAGAGAAGCCATGTTTTAGACAGGTAATTCAGGTATTATTCAGGGAGTTAATTAGTTTGTGGATTACCTGTATCACTCCTTGCCTCGGATGCCCTGAGCATTTCTTAAATATCTAAGTTTACATGTTAACACACACTCCTTACATAAGTGATACAGACGTCTCTAAATTAGAAAAAAAGTATTTTCCTCTCTTTGGCCCCAACTCTTGCCTTCCTAGACCTTTATCTGTTTCTTTGCTTAGAAGTAGCTTTGTATAACAAAGTGTTCAAATGGTCAGTGGATATGTGGGACCCTGAGAGGATGGACGTGGCGGCGCATTTTGCTGAGACCACTCAGGTGTTCCGTTCACGCCTGCCCCAGGCCCAGTCCTCAGGAGTATTGCCGTCATGCTGCTCTATAGCCTCCCTCTTCTTATACGGTCACCTTTGGGCTGTATAAACTGTTAACACCATTCATGAGATCAATCCTAATAGAATGTATTTTGATTTTTAAATCAGCACACTGGACTACTCCAGAGGAGTCTTGTCCTTTTTGGGGGGAACTTTGCGCTTCTTTCTACACCATAACTGAAACTCCTGTTTTGTAACTGCCTTCAGAGTTTACTTATGAGCCATATAGGAAAACTTTTTGGAAAGTCACACCTTGATCTAATAATGCACCATCTTTGTTTTCCACTGTTTTTGTGTTGTATTAGAAATCAAATTCATCCTCAAAGGCTAAAGATTTCTCGTGGTAATGAAAGCCAGTATGCACCAGGCCCTGAAGGCCACTTTCCAAAGAGAGTTCCACATGTTTTGAACAATGAAATGTTCTCATGTTGACTTTAAAATGATTCTTAAAAATCAGTCTTCCTACTTTTGGTCACACCTTGACTAAGGAAAGGAGATAGGTCATTTCTCAGCTTCCCTCACTGTGCATTGTGATGCTTTCTCCTTCCCTTCAAGGTTCCGGTGAAAAGATGCAAAGCTTTAACACTGTAGTAGGTCAATATTGCTACTCACAAAGTTGATCTAATAATAAATGGTGAGTCAACCCTTGGCATTAGTCAGATTTCCAGGTCAGACTTGATAGTTACCATTAGTTCTGTATATGGAAATACTTTCCCTCAAATTATTCAGGTGGTCATCAGATATGCCCTCCTGTCTGTTGACTAGCTATTCTCAAATGGGAGAGGAGGCTCAGAGTGATGTGAGGACCATTCTTTTCGCCCTTTAGATCAGAGGAAGTTGAAGAAATGGCTACGAAAGAACTGTGCTGCCATCTGGCACTTTCCCTGAATTGCCATAACCTGTCAAGGACATGCGTTGAATATTTTTCCAAATGTCACTTTGGATTTCACATCCACTGAAGTAAAAGCATAAAACCTTTGAGCTAATACCATCCAGGCGTTTAAAGTCAGGGTAACAATTCTAAGCATCAAAATCACATGCATGGCAGACTAGCTTGATCTAGCTGATCTGCTGGGGAAACGCCAAGAATTGATTTTACTACCTAATGAGTAATAGGGTCAACTGTTCTTCAGTGCAGGGGAGAGGTTTATTGCATGTATACACTGTGCTTGCAGTACAAATGCATTGCTTAACAAATGCTCGGCAGTTTCTTCTCAGCCCTGGATGGTCAATTAGAAAGAGCCAGTTTTGCTATGGCTGGACAAACCACATCACTAATCTAATTGGTACCCTCCTGCTTCCTTTCTCTGCTGTTCTTGCACTGTGATGATCAAGGCATGTACCATCTTGTCCCTCTCTCCAGGGAATACTTAGAAGTCCACTGTGTTGTTTCTCTCTGTTTTTAATTAGTCTGAGGATGGATGATTAATCAATTGGAAATCTGCCACGTGATGTTGGGTTGTTCTATGAAATGGGAAAAGGAGGGAGAACGGCCGGCAGTCGTATTGATGAGGTTTGTGCACAGAAGGCTGAGTGGCGGTGGTGTGTGTGAGCGCAATTAATTGTATGTCTAGGCCGCTTTATACTCTCCCACACTTTGGGCTCCTTACCTACTGCCAGGTGACAGATGGGCACAGGCACCTCCTTCCTTTACCCACCCACAGTAGGGGTCTCTGGAAGCGATACAGGTTCTGTAGGAAGAGGATGACTGTGAGCTACCTAGGACTCTTTTCTAAGCACTGTGGACTTTCTAATGATCAATGAGGCAAATACATACTTTTTGCACTTCCCATGTCGTTCACACCGGCCAAGGGGAACCTTTATCACACAAGTGGAAAATGCAACATACAGAGAGCTGCTTGCTTTGTCCAGTTGCATGCCCATAATCCTCTTGTCTTCTACTCCATCATAGCTGCACCTAATTTTATAAGGCAGGATAATATCATTCATAGTCTCTCTTGGGTCAGTTCTCTCTTTCCTGCCACCACCCTTACACCCCACCTCCCAGCGCACAAGGTCAGATCTCTTAATCTGATCCAACTGAACGGGAAACAGAACCTTATGTGTGCACCCATACACATACACATAAACACACAGTGTATGTGTTTATATAAACACTCACATTATTAGCAAGGAGAAAATAATGCTTTTAATGTATGAAAAGATTTTTACCAATAATACTAAAAGTCACCTAAGTGCATAAAATCTAAGTCTGCCATGATTTCTCTGAATGGAAAAGATAATAAAGTAACAGATAGTTACTAGGAAAGAACCAAACATTCTACGCACTTTTCAGGGTTGTAGACGCTCATCTCCTCCAGGAAAAGGCTGTCATTTAGGAAACCACTGTTTCCCATCCTGGCCAAGAACTTCAAGATGATTCCTTTCTCTGATCCCAGGAAAACCACAGTGTGATTCTGATATGGCCCAGCAGCGGTGTCCACCGCAATTTTGGTCAGGCGGTATCTAAAATGACAGGATCACATTTTTTAATCTCTTTGTTGGTCTTTCATTAAAGTGTCCCCTTTTCCACTTCAAACAATTGGGATAGAGCTTTCTAGTAATAACCTCAAGAAAAATATATGCATATAAATAATGCTCTCAAGCTGTTCTGCTCCTTTATTTCCATATGTAGAGCATTAGTATGGCTCCAAGGGGAGGAAAGAGGTATGTATGTGTGGAGGCCAAGTTACATAATAAATACGTAGCCATCACCATCTGAAACCACTCAGCAATTATCCCTTCCATGAACAACAAGGAAAGACTGACGTCTGCTGTGAAGAGGGGAAGAAATAATAAGTGAATTCATTTAATATTTCGCAATGCAAAGTACTAACCACTGTGCGATCACAGCTAACATTTCACTGAACACTGAAAAGAAAAGCAGCGGCTACCATTTTTCCATACTCTTCCTCTGAGGTGCCAAGACTTGTCAACAAATTGTCAGACTGGAAAGCTTTCTGATTGTGTGCAGAGGGGTAGAGAGTTCTGAAGGATGGGGAGGTAGAGTGCTAATGGCAATATTAATAAACAAATGGATATACAAGCCAAACAAGATCCACCTAAAGCCAAAGGTGAAGGGCATTAGTCCTATTGCCTGCCTAGATAAGTCCTATCGGGCATGCTCCTTCTCTGAAATCCCATAGCTGTTCAACACTCCGCTCTCCTTAAGCATCATGGCAGGAACCAGGAAACATGGACTCTTCTGCAAGTTACATACCGTGGTTTCCATCTTATTGGCAAGAGCCATTATAGTATTGGGTTGGCCAAAATCTGCCTTCGGTTTTTAAGTAAAAATAAAAGACACATTTTCCATTTTCACTGAACAACATATTCACCCTTTTGTTCCACTACCTTCTGCCATATTTCAGGCAACTTCATAATTCCATCTTTCCAAAACTTTTAATCTTTTTTGAGCATGGAACTGTTCCAGGTGCCTTTTACAGTCTTCCAGGGAATTGAAATTTTTCCATTAAGAGAACTTTGTAAAGACCCAAATAAATGGAAATCCAAAGGTGCAATGTCTGGTCAATACAGCGGATGAATCAGAACCCTGGCCAAACCATAACAGTTTTTGCCTGGTCATTGAAGAAACACGCGGTCTTGCATTATCTAATGCATCATATAATTCTGGACGCTTTTCATCAAGTGCTGTGTTCAGTTGGTCTAACTGGGAGCAGTAATTGTTGAAACTGTTTGGTTTTCCGGAAGGAGCTCATAATAGAGGACTCCCTTCCAATCCCACCATGTATGCAACATCACCTTCTTTGTATGAAGACCGGCCTTTGGTGTGGTTGGTGGTGGTTCATTTCGCTTGCCCCACGATCTCTTCCATTCCACATTATTGTACAGTATCTACTGTTCATCACGCGTCACAATTTGTTTCAAAAATGGACCGTTTTCATTACATTTAAATGGAGAATCGCATGCAGAAATATGGTCAAGGTTTTTTTTGCTTAATTTAGGTGGAACCCAAACATCACAGCGATTAACATAACCAAGCTGGGGCAAATGATTTTCAACGCTTGATTTGGATATTTTGAGTATGCTGGTTATCTCCTGTGTGGTATAATGTTGATTGTTCTCAGTTAATGTCTCGATCTGATAGCTATCAACATCAACTGGTCTACCCGACCGTGGAGCATCGTCCAGTGAGAAATCTCCAGCACGAAACTTCGCAAACCACTTTTGACAGGTTCGATCAGTCACAGCACCTTCTCTATACACTGCACAAATCTTTTCTGGCATTTCGGTTGTGTTTTCACCTTTCTTGAAATAATGCAGCATAATATGCCAAAAATGTTGCTTTTTTTCTTTCATCTTCAGTATTAAAATGGCTACACAAAAATTCACTGCTTTTCATAAGTCTTTTTTAAAACGCACACTGATATGACAGCTGTCACATACAATCTAACAAAATTGCTTTGAATGAAGTTAAAGACAACTAAGTTCTACTAGAGCCATCTTATGGAAAAAACTGAATGAACCTTTTGGCCAACCCACTACTTTAATATCTTTCAATAAAGTCACTGTTTAAAAATGGTGGTAAAGTTAATTAACATTTTGTTTGATGACTGCCAAAACTGGATGGTACTTGGGAAAGCCTGTTGAACTGTTTGGCAATAAGCCCTAAATAAATATGAGAAGGAGGAGTATTTAATGCTGTCACAGATTTCTAATCAGCTATCCCTTCTCCGTTGGCCACCACTCCAGACAACAAATGCTAAAGTATGAACCCTTCTTGCTGGTATACTTGTGCAAATGCTCCGTTACTCCATGCTCCGTATGACAGCTAACAATCTAGGGACAGTGCTCGGATGACATCTGCAGCATGTTTTGCAACCATATCCAACCAAACAGGTATCTACATCCATTGACTGATTCTCATCACTGCTCCTCTACTCTTAACACACGTGGGATGAACAGGCTAACGCAGAAGGAGATATCTTTGTTTCTCTAATTGCCGGCAAGTGTCCAAAGAGCCTGAAACTATCTGAACTGTGTTCACTGGGAATGTGGTCATGGGGCTTGGTGGCATCCACCCATGTGCCCGGGACTTCACAGCTGAATCAATGCCCAGGATAAGAGAAGATGTTTGTGGCATTTCAAATTGTGATCCACTGATGATAGGTTCTGTAAGCATGGGAAGGAACAGGGGGAATCCAGTGAGGACATGGTTTGCTTGACACCCACCTGACCATCGTCCTCAGGAACCATGGCTTGTTGATGATGGAGGGCACGGCCTCATCCATGAGCGGGTGCGTTTTGATGAAATTCAGGGTATCGTCAGGAAATTCATTGGAGGTTGCATATTTTTCTAAGGAGGATGAGCCAGCGCAGCAACCTGGCCTAAAAAGAAACAAAGGGAGGGGGCTTATGTCATGCTTTATGGCAAATTCTTTGAATGAACTCCTTCTCTGTGCATATTGCATGAGGGAGAATATACCGTAGGCTGAGAAGAGGAAGCTGAACAATGCATAATGCCACCAAAAAATATGCTTAGATTTCCTCAGGGCCACCTCCTCACTCCATAGAGAAGCCTGAGCCAGGACAGTTCAGCCTTGGCTGGGAGCAGCTTGGCTTCCCCGCCAGAAGCACAAACCCACCCCATGAACAGTGATGGAGCTTGAAACAAGTGAGGGTTTGGTTTGCACGTCTCCGGGACCGCTCTATCTGTCTTAAAACACGGCTAGAGGGCTTCCCTGGTGGCGCAGTGGTTGAGAGTCCGCCTGCTGATGCAGGGGACATGGGTTTGTGCCCCGGTCCGGGAAGATCCCACATGCCTGTGAGCCACGGCCGCTGAGCCTGCGCGTCTGGAGCCTGTGCTCCACAACGGGAGAGGCCACAACAGTGAGAGGCCTGCGTACAGGAAAAAACAAAACAAAACAAAAAAAAAACACTGCTAGAATTTCTGCAGGCATTTGCTCCACAAAAAGAGACAATTGGGCTGACATTTTCAGAAATGTAGAAAACGAAGGCGTTCAAAAAGCTGCCAGCCTTACGTACCTGCTAGACTCAGTATAACCATCTCTCATTTACTAGGGGGTCAGAGAACATTTGGGTTTTGTTTTTTATTGTTTTTGTTTGATTTGGGTAGGTATGAAAAGCCATTTACACTGAAATTCTTGCCTGAAAAGGCATTTCTAAAATTTCTGAACAATGACACTGAAAATCCATTTCTAAAAGAAATTATATGGTTTTAGGAGTCAAGGGCACATCTCAGCAAAGTCAGACCAGGGAAACACCGGCTCCAGTCTTATCCAGACACCTGCTTGGCCCACTGGTGCAGGTGAGAAAAGTGGACCCTGACAACACTGGCAGGGTCTAGCCCCAGGCACACGCTTTCATGGCACTAACCCAGCCAGTGAAAGCGCCCAGGTATCTGTAAGAGAGACAGGCCAGCACGTGGAAGGATGAAAGCAAACATGCTGCCACCAGTAGAAAGTCACTTGAAGTATGTGTCCTGGTGACGGCTGAGTGACACCATCTTTCGATACTCAGGGGAGCATATTACATAAGTACTCCCTGAAACCTGATCCCTTAAGCTTAACTCCCCTTCCTGCTTACCTGGAAGGTAGCTAAGAATCCTAGGCAATGACTTAGAGAATCTATCTGAGGTTGCCAGGGTATGCTTTTTACACCTAGTCTGCTCTCCATAAATAACAGAGAATGCACATGCCATTTAATTCAGGGGATGAAAATGGATGAATTGTAGGGGTTTCTCCCATGGGTACAGTGTTTCATATTATCTAAGTTAGTTCAATTAAGTGAATTGGGCTGGGTATTTTGTGTGGGGGATTGGATGTCGGAGGAGAGAGTTGGAAACCAAGAAAGTTTAGAAGACACTGGGTTTCCTTCCACAAATTAAGTGGAGGAAGCCGAACACACAGGGATGTTTCTATATAACTTAGATTTCGAATGCTGTGATGGGAGGTATGCAGTGTGTGCCACATAAACAGGGTAGGCACAGGGCTGGGAGGGAGTTTCATCCTGTCCCAGTTAGGAGGAATGAGTTAACTGGTTTAGTGTGAGGATTTGATAGATATTCCACAGGACCAAAAGGTCTCTGTGTTGTCTCTCAACAATAGGTTCCTCATGAAAGCACTTCTGGGGCACATTTGGGGGAGGGGAGAATCAACAGTGCATCTGGACCCCAAGCAGACCAGAACCTGACAGACCAGAGACATCCTAATAATGGTCCATTGTACCTGCTGCCCTTGGCCCAGAGTCCGGGATCAGCTCTGATCCAGTCTAGTCACAAATTCCAGGGAACACCATTTATACTTTACATTTTTTTAAGGCTGAAAGACATGGGTCTCTGAAAAACTGAAGAGAAGCGGGGAGGGGCGGTGGAAATCATCTCCCCAGAGATGTGAACTTGCGCAACTCACTTTACACCTCTCTGGGCCTCAATTTCGTCAGCTATAGACCATTGGGGCCGCTGGACCAGATGATTCCTGTCATCCTAGGATTGCATTGGATAATCCACAGATAGAGAGTCTAAGCAAAAGACAAGAGAGTCACTGTTTTGAATACAACTGTAGGTAATTTGGGGTTTCGGTTAAGGGAATGAAGGCAAACGGCCTCACCGGCCTTTCTGTTGTGTTGGCATTTGTATCTGCGTGGCCAGCATGGAAGGCACTAGTGTGCAGTTTATAAGATGCTTATTATCAGGGGAGCAAATGGCACCATTTCTAGAAATTCAAGAAAGCCGTATAAATATTTGCACATACCTAGGCTTAGGCACTCGTTCATCAGGAACTGGTGTCCACGTGGAATCTGGAGACTTCTGTTCTTTGAATCTCCCAGTAAAAACAATGGCGACATCATGCATGTCATAGGCACACACTGCAGACCCGGGGATGCTGCAGTAGGACATTTCACACAAAGTGTTATTCACGCAACAGTCACGCATGCAGTTTGGAAAATATACTCCAAAGTAACTTTCCTAGTACGGGCAGGTGAAATTTAATGTTCGCATCCTGAACACTAGAAATTTAAGGGATCCTAGCGCATAAGGAGAATGTTTCTGTGACTCAAATTTTCATCAGTGGCCTTAAAGAAAGGGCTACTTACAGCAGAATCATAGAGGAAAATCTCATTATGTCTTGTGTCTGGCACTACTTTTGTTTATAAAAGAGGAATGGGCGAGCTGGTGATTTATAAGTTTCATGAATTCCCTGAAATTATCAGTCTTTTAACCAAAGATAAAATGTTTGGACAACATTCTGCATCTCTAATACTGGTGAAAATTTGAAGTAAAAGTGCCCCTACTGTTCACATATTCCTTCTTTGAATTTGGTTCCTCAAGCCAAGGACTTCAGGAGTGAGGATGTATGTGTGAGGAACCCAGCCATATTTTATGTTAGTCACTGTACGTTGCAAAGTTTACTTCCTGTTTATTTGCATAAGACTAAACAATTTAAATCTCTAAAGCACCAACACTTTGCAAATAAAAAGCTCTATTAAGTGCTAAATAATAATAATGACAGTAATCTCTACCTATAATGACATTCTTGCCTGGCACTCCTAGAAGGATTTTGGGATTTTTTTTTTTTTCATCAGTGGTGAACAGACATGAATTATTCATTCATCTAGGTGCACTGCTTAAACCCATGTTTGTTTTTGACTATGGTCGTTCCTTGATTTTGATCAAATAAATTTCAGCCACTGGCTGGCCAACAGTTTTAATCAGGCTTTGAGGTAGTGGGTCACTGCACACAGAAGCATCCAGGGCAAGACACAAGCACTTTGCAGCATGAACATCATCCAGGGAGAAAGAATGATTTAGTCCTGACTTTGCAGATGTTGAAAGGATACGGAAATCACTTCATATATGATTAGGAGAATTTTATGCCATCTTTAATTTCATAACACAGTTATGAAGTATTACTAATAAAGCAAGAAATAGGGAGAGGATTAGGTGGCAGGATGAATTTTTTTTTTTTTTTTTGCGTTTACTGGGCCAGACGCGCAGGCTCAGCGGCCATGGCTCACGGGCCCAGCCGCTCCGCGGCACGTGGGATCTTCCCGCACCGGGGCACGAACCTGCGTCCCCTGCATCGGCAGGTGGACTCTCAACCACTGCGCAGGATGAATTTTAAAGTATGTAGCGTGTGGGGTGTGTGTGTGTGTGTGTGTGTGTGTGTGTGTGTGTGTTCACAGTATTGAGTCTATATATTATAAAGACAATGATCCCCATTTGTTTTGAAATTTCAGAACCCCCAGCATTATTTAATTTTGTAAGACTCTCTCCACATCTCGCTTTCCTAAAAGTAAGAGGTGTACCCATTTGCCTTAAATATTAAAAATAGGATAAATATTGAAGTATTTTATGAGGCACTTCCTAACAACTAAAGATACCCTAGGGTTTTATAATCTTCCTAAGGTTATACTCATTTGTAAATCCTTTCTTTTTCCTTCCCTGCTTTATTCCCTCCCTCTCTTCCCATCTTCTGTTCATTCAGCATATATTTATGGAATCCCTAATCTCAAGCAGTGAATGTCAATAAATAAGGGCATTCTGCTCTCAGGTGACTCACAGTTCAGTGTGTAAGAAAACAACAGCAAAAATAACAACAATAACAAATATTCCTGGTAAAAAGAGGTATGTGCAGGGTTCCATGGGAGGCAGCTGGAGCCGCGGCTTGGAGCATTCCCGGGGGTTCAGTGGGCAAACAGACGTGGGTTGGGTGGGCAGACCTGGCAGAGAGCAGGGCATGAGCAAGCTCCAGTAAGCCCTGTGCACCGGAGGAGGAGCCTGTTGTGCCTGATCATGAGGGGGCCTGCATGCTCTGCCGTGGAAGCTGGGCTTTATCCCCCAGGGCAAAGAGGAGCACCTAAGGGATTTGAAACAACCTGACATGATGAAGTGTGCATGTGTGGAGGATCCCGTGGAGAGGGATGAAACCAGAGGGAGTAAAACAAGAGGGACTATAATTTATATATGAAAACTGGTATGCATATCTTTGCCATTTCCTGATTTTACTAAACAGATATGGTTTCTGAGACTGCATTAGCACGCACTAATTGAATGTTTCCTAGGGCCCTTTTAAGAAAATTCTTTAAATGGGAGTATACATAATACGCAGGAATCTACTACTCTATTGTAATCATGAAGTGACTCACCCTCTCAAAAAACATACATAAAAATTAGAAGTGTGCTCTGAAACTCCACTGGCACCTACATTCTGTGTTCCAAAATAGTATTCTTTTTCAACACTACTAGATACATCGGTTCCAAAGTATGAGCAGTCAAGGCCTGAATTTTTTTATCTTTTCTATTCTCAAGTCTAAAAATTCCTTCAGATGGTTGCAGCTTATTTAAACCTAACTCAATACTTCTTGCTGCAATATGGGTTTATGTTTTCATATCTCTTCAGTGGGAACTCTTGACTCTTGCCCTCCATATAATTGGGGAACATTATTTCATCTTTCAGCTAGCTCTGTTCTGGGCTCTACCCAATTCTTTTTTTTTTTTTTTTTTTTTTTTTTTTTTTTTTTTG